CTTGCCTCAGCCTCCCAAGTAGCTGGGACTACAGGTGCCTGCCACAATGCCTGGCTATTTTTTTGTTGCAGTTTGGCTGGGGCTGGGTTCGAACCTACCACCCTTGGTATATGGGGTTGGCACCCTACCCACTGAACCACAGGCACTGCCCAGTGTATACATTTTTCAAACTTTAGTGAATAATACACATTGAGTGGGTGCATTTTATTATATACATATATAGAGCAAATATTTGAAAAATTGATTTTAAAATTAAGCCACATACATCTACCCAGAAGAAAAAAATCATTCTATCACAAGGACATTTGCACTAGATTGTTTATCACAGCTCAATTTACAATCACCAAAATGTAGAAACAACCTAAATGCCCACCAACCCAGGAATGGATTAATACGCTGTGGTATAACATGGTAGTGTGGTATAACCTGTTGTCCCAGCTACTTGGGAGGCTGAGGCAAGATAATCGCCTAAGCCCAAAAGCTGGAGGTTGCTGTGAACTGTGATGCCATAGCACTCTACGGAGGGCAATAAAGTGAGACTCTGTCTCTAAAAAAAAAAAAAAATGAGTCAGATGCACACACACAACAAAAAAGAGTATTTTGTGTGGGCTGAAACGGTACCACTGAACATCTGTCCTTAGGTAAGTAAGCTCAGCCAAATTCCCTGATGTTCCTGAGGCATTCAGGGAGGAGGTTGGATAAGGTGAACTCGAAATTCCTCTGAGCTGTGATTTATTATTATTATTATTATTGATGTTTTTGGCTGGGGCTGGGTTTGAACCCACCACCCCCGGCATATGGGGTTGGCACCCTACTCCTTTGAGCCACAGGCGCTGCCCTATTTTTTATTTTTTGAGACAGAGTCTGACTCTGTCTCCTGGATGGCATGATCATAGCTCACAGCAACCTCAACCCCCTGAGATCAAGTGGTCCTCCTGCTTCACCCTCCCAAGCAGCTGGGACCACAGGCATGTGCTGGCATGCCTGGCTAATTTTTTTCTGTTTTTAGTAAAGATGTGGTCTCACTCCTGCTCAGACTGGTCTCTAACTCTTGAGCTCAATTAATCCTACTGCCTGGGCCTCCCAGAGTGCTAGGATGGTAGGTGTGAAAGACCAGCCAGAGCTGTGATATGAAACACAGAAAATGTCAGTATCACCATCAAGGCTCCCATTTTCCCTCTAAGGTTCCCTTGTTTGTATTTGCAGGATGAAGGGAAAGGAATAAACATATAGGGCATGCCTACTGTATACTAGGGGCAATGCTTTACACACCTTAGTTCATTTAACTCTCCAGACAGTTCGCAAGATCCTTATTGTCCTCATTTAATAGAAAAGGAAATTGAAACGCAGCCCTGGTAAGCTACTGGCCCACTGTCAGGTGGCTAGGAAGTAGTGAGAGAGAAGGGATTCAACCTGTGGTCCTCCTTCTAGCTCTAACCATGCTCCAGACTGGGAAAGTGAACCTGACAGCTGGGGCTGGTAACTGAAAAGGAGCAGGTAAAGTCTGGCCCATTGCACTCCCATCCCCACCCTCCATCCCTGCCCCTAACCACTCACCCCCGTCTTCAAACTCCTCCCGTAAGTAGACCCTGTGCTGTGTCCACTCCCCCAGTGTGCAGGTCACCAGCAGCAGCAGCAGCAGCAGCGGCCACAGCCCCCTCATCCTGCAGAGCCTCGGTTCCCAGCTCCCAGCCTCAGATCGCTGCTACCTTGGCTAGATGCCTTGCATCAGTCGCTGCGGCCTCTACCCTGACCCTGGGGCGGGAGATCACCTGCACCCTGCAACTGGCTGCCTCCCATTCGAGGCCTGGGGGTTTAGGGAAATTAATGAGGCCCATAGCCAATGGTCAGGGCCCACGAGCTGAGAATGCTGGAGGACGAGGAGCGAATGGGGGCCAACTCAGTGCTGAGGGAGCTACACAGCAGGGTCTCTAGGGAGTGGAGGGCCAGCTGAGGCTAGCCTCTGGGGGCCTGTGAGCCTGCAGAACTTTGGTGTAGCTGGTTTAAAGTGACTCCATGTGATTCCTTCCATCATCCCTGTCTTTCTATCCCTCCTTGCCTCTATCTCTCTTTCCTTCTATCCCTCTATCATTCCATCCCTCTAAACATCCATCCATCCACTGAACCTATGAACAAACAATGATACCAGTTCACCAAGAAACGATAATAAATAATAACAGTGCGATGTCTGTTTATTTTATTTATTTTTTAGACACAGAGTCTCACTTTGTCACCCTCGGTAGAGTGCTGTGGCATCACAGCTCACAGCAACCTCCAGCTCTCAGGCTTAGGTGATTCTCTTGCCTCAGCTTCCTGAGTAGCTTGGATCACAGGCACCTGCCATGACACCCAGCTATTTTTTTGTTGCAGTTTGGCTGGGGCTGGGTTTGAACCCACCACCCTTGGTATATGGGGTCGGTGCCCTACTCACTGAGCCACAGGTGCCGCCCTGATGTCTGTTTATTTTTAACAGAAACACCCTAATCCGGCATGGGATCTCAGGGCAGTCTTCCTGTAGATGACACTGAGACTGGAATACATGGGGTGGGGGTGGCCTTTACTATGTGTAAAGGCCAGAGGGAAATAGTACTTCTAGGTTAGTATGGGTTTTTTTTTTTTTTTTTTTTTTTTTTTTTTGAGACAGAGTCTCACTCTGTTGCCCTGGGTAGAGTGCTATGGTGACATCATAGCTTTTTCCCTTTTTGTATTTTTAGTAGAGACGAGGTCTCGCTCTGGCTCCGGCTGGTCTCAAACCCATGAGCTCAGGCAATCCTCCTGCCTTGGCCTCACAGGGTGCTAGGATTACAGGCTACCATGCCTGGCCTAGGTTAATATCATTTCTACAACAGCTCAGTACCATACATTCAATGTTATGTGAGGAAAAGGAGGCTGAAATGGGGGAAACCACTAGCCTTTGTTGATCACTATGCTGTGTGCTGAGCACGGCACCAGGCACTTAACATGCATTATGTAATTTGATCTTCACACCAATATGTGAGGAGAGTGCTATGACACTCACTTGCAGATGAACAAACCGAGGCTCTGGTGCCCTACCCACTGAGCTACGGGTGCCACTCATACATCTTTATTTGTAGACAGAGTCTCCCTCTGTTGCCCTGAGTAGAGTGCCATGGCATCATCATCGCTCACAGCAACCTCAAACTCTTGGACTCGAGCAATTCTCTTGTCTCAGCCTCCTGAGTAGCTGAGACTACAGATGCCTCTCGCAATGCCCAGCTAGCTTTTCTATTTTTAGTAGAGATGGGAGTCTTGCTCTTGCCCAGGCTGGTCTCAAACTCCTGAGCTCAAGTAATCTGCCTGTCTTGGCCTCCCAGAGTGCTAGGATTATAGGGGTGAGCCATCAAGCCTGGCCCAGATTTATATTTTATTATTTATTTATTTATTTTGAGACAGAGTCTCACGGTGTCACCCTGGGTAGAGTGCCATGGCATCACAGCTCATAGCAACCTCCAACTCTTGGGCTTAAGCCATTCTCTTGCCTCAGCCTCCCAAGGAGCTGGGACTATAGGTGCCCACCACAACACCTGGCTATTTTTTTGTTGTTGTTGTAGTTGTCATTATTGTTTGGCAGGCCCGGGCTTGATTCGAACCCACCAGCTCTGGTGTATGTGGCTGGTGCCTAGCCACTGAGCTACAGGCTCTGAGCCCCAGATTTATATTTTAAAAGGATCACTTTGGATGCTGTCTTGCTAAGTTGGAGATGTCCATGTATAATCATAGGATGTCAAGTAGAGAGTTAAAATACATCAATGTGGAGCTCCACAATGTGAGTTTCCAAATTAGCATTTGTCCTGGTTACAATGCTAATTTGGAAGCATGTAAATCATATTTCAGGCAGCAGAGCTAGATGAGGTCTTTTAGAGGGAGGAGCAATTGACCAAGAACACGCCCAAAAGCCAGCACTGGAGAACCCCAGCCCTGAAGGGGAAAGCTGTAAAGGATACTGCACTGGCTCTCAAAGAAAGAATCTCCTTTAGAATTCTAGGTTTTCTTACCCATTGACAGTGGGGTCTTCTCTGAAAGAGAGTACCAAAATTGCAATTTACTAATCATGGCTCAGTGCCTGTAGCTCAGTGGCTAGGGCACCAGCCACATACATCAGAGCTAGTGGGTTTGAACCCATCCCAGGCCTGCCAAACAACAATGACAACTACAACCAAAAAATAGCCAGTAGCCAGGCACTGTGGTGAGCGCCTGTAGTCCCAGATACTTGGGAGGCTGAGGCAAGAGAATCACTGAAGCCAAAGGGTTTGAGGTCCCTGTGAGCTGTGACGCCATGGCAGTTTACCGAGGTCCACGTAGTGAGACTCTGTCTCAAAAAAAAATAAAAATAAAAAATGTACTAATCACCTACTAGGTGCTATGCTGAGTGCTAGGGAGACAAAGATAGGACCCAATCCTTGCCCTCTAGGAATTCTCAGGCCGGCAAGAGAGATGGCCTTTAGGCAACTAACTAGGACCAAAAAAGCCTGGGTTTGGTGCCTTAATAAAAGGAAGAAAAACAAGGGCATAGGGACAGGGAGATGTACCAGATGGTATGCAACAGCTTTCCTTGCATGACCTCATACAGTCCTTACGACAACAATAACTATTGCTATCCCCATTTTTCCAAAAGAAGAAGCTGAATGTTAGAGATAGTTAACTTGTCCAAAGATACATAATTGACAAGTAGTAAAGCCTGGATACACAGTCAGTTCTTGGGCCCTGGCTTCCAAAATACTTACTCTTTTAAATTTTGTGACAGTCTGATAGGGTTGGAACATGAGGTCCCTGGGAAGAATGGGAGCCAGAAAGCAAGGCAGGAGAGACAGGGGAAAGAGGGAGGGGGGCCAAACTGGTCTGGACCTCGAAAGCCAGCCGGAGGAGTTTTGATTTGGTTCCTCTAGGCCACGGGTTTTCAGTCTCAGCAGTATAGACATTTGGGGCCAGATAATTAATCCTTTCTTGTCGAGGAGGGCTGTCCTTGGCATCGTAGAATATTTAACAGCAATCCCAGCTTTTACTCAGGGATGCCAATAACACTCTCCTCTGACAAAGTTTTAGTCATCACTAAATGTTGCCAAATGTTTCCTGGGGTATGTGTTTGTGTGGGCAAAATTGACCCCCAGTAGAGAACCGCTGCTCTAGGAACTAGTGGGGTCCAGGGCTTTAAAAGGAGTGTGACATTATGAGCAGCAAGAATGTTCCCTTAACACTAATAACCTCTTTTAACAACCCTTGTTAGGCTCACAATGAATTAGCCTTTGTGAGAAACTGTTTTATGTTTCAGTTCTGATAAGCTGGAATCAATGGCACTACTCTGGTAACACTTCCATGGAGTCTGTTCATTTTTTGTGAGACAATAGATTAAGTTGACCATGTGCTCCTCAAGGGCAGTGACCACTATGGCTTCTTTGTTAATTTTTTGCTTTTTTTTCTGAGACAGAGCCTCAAGCTGTTACCCTGGGTGGAGTGCCATGGCATCACAACTCATGGCAACCTCCAACTCCTGGGCTCGAGCAATTCTCCTGCCTCTGCCTCCCAAGTAGCTGGGACTA